GTTTTCAGCTGCCCAATTAATATTCAAAATAGTGATTCTGGTAAACCTTGTGCTGATGATATGTTAATATCGTAGTAAAAATCAAATGGGACTCCAGTCCTTAGGAAAGCACATTAATCTAATTTAATAACAAATTTTGTTACATAATTTTACAAAAATTTATACCAATAGCATATTTAGCATCCATAAAATATAAACAGTGAAATGAAAAGGAGCACATTGGGTGTCTTAAAGCTCCCAATTTTGTAATTTCTGGGTAAAAATGTTTCCCAGATTTCTCTGAAATATTTTCTTTAAAAAAAAAACAACAAGCACAACTCTCTGTAAAAATCACATAATTAGTGATGTTGCATTAACATATACAAACAAGCTTAGTCCCACCATCCTGTGAATGCCTTAACTTGGAATGAGTTGAACACAATACATATATTTGCAACACCATGCTTGATGAAAAACTAACAAATGGAGCCAATGAGTAAAAGGTTGCTTCCTTTTTAAGGCTTTGTTATCATCTGCCTAAGTCAATATGCTAGGCTGTTTTAAAAGACCAAAGGCACTTTTTCTGTGTGTGACAAACTGTGTCTACAAAACAGTATATGAATATAAAGCTAAAATATTTAGGAGGTTCGCAGAATACACTTTACAATATAAATATAAAACAGATCAGCATGAGTCTATTATAACAATTCTTGGCAATATCTGCAGATTTTCATGTACATTTACATTACATTAGCAGCAACTGCAAAATACTTAGATACAATACAGAAAGCAGCCTGGGTTTCATTTCTAATTAGAATGCCCTCCGAGTTACGTATATAATAGTAAAGCATAACCCACTTAAAAATGTTAAGTTGCCAGGTTGCATCCCATGATCCTCCCCTTTCATGTTCCCACCAAACTGGGATGAACCAGCTACTGCTTCTCCTGTTCCTCCCCCCCCCCAATCACTTTTCCATAATTGGTTACTCTGCTTCCCTCATTCTTAGTGCAATAACCAAGAAGATCCTATAGGAAAGTTCACATATTGCAATAGCCCATAAGGTGGTTAGGTTTGGTTTACTGCGATGTGTGAACCATTATGATTTGTTAAATAATAGTTTATAGCTTAGTGTTCTGTAAAATCAGCGGTTTATTAAAAAAAATCTATGATTTAATGTGAACAGTGAAATATGTATTCCACAACACAAAAAGTAGATATATAATAGGCCCTGAGGTGGGGGGGAATAATTTGGAAAAGCTGTTAGCTGACTTTTCCTCTAGCTGAGCTCAATAGGCTCCAAAGTAAAGGAGGAATCACAAGTTTGTAACTTGGCAAGCCTAATTTTGCTCCATTTTATTCCAGGCCCAATAGTTCTTATTCATTATTTAATAAAATCGATTGTTTTCCCCCTAATTGCAAATAGTTCAATTACATTATTTACAAAATATTTTCAACACATATTATAATTTTACAAATTAAATTTGACACCACATTCTGCTTTCCATCCAATACCCAACCCACCCACTCACATCCACACATACAAGTTGGCAAAGGAAACTTCCCGGGAACTTAGCTCCATATCTAAAGGTGCTTTAAATACTTTTCAGATGAAGAGTTTTGCTACGTTGTATGCTAAAACCAGCATTTCCTTTCAAAAAGGCTTAGTTGTCCTAATATGTTCATTGCTAAGAGCAAGCTCGCTCTCAGGTCCAGATCAATAACTACTTTCAGTGAATTATGGATTCTAAAAAGTAATGTTCATGAAGATGGATTTAATTGGACCCAAATAAACATCAGCTACAGGGATCAGGTATCCAATCTGATATCTTCCTATACAGTAAAACCCAGTCTGGCCAGAAAAAATATGCTACTTAAGATTTCACCAACATTAACAATCACTTTTGAAGAGATAAAACATTCAAAACAATCTCCCTCAGGAATTCTGGGAGTTGAAGTCCACGAGTCATAAAAGAGCCGAGGTTGCCTACCCCTGCCCTAGGGTAATGACATGCCACACATAGCCATTAATCAAGGCAAGCTAATAATAAGAAAGTTAACCTTTGACATTGCATTATGGCTACACCTGAATAAGAGTTACTTGTTCCTTAAAGCCAATCAGTTACATTTACATATATATTCATATGTATTGTATTTAGAATATAAAGATAGGATTCATATTCATGGGGCTAAGTCATAATCTGATTTGGTTCTGGCCAAGCATAAACCTAGCAACTGTAGTTTATTCAGTCCAGCTAAGCAAACTATGGCTTAAAAAATGAGATCCAAAACGTGTCAGTTTACTAGCCCAGTTTGAAATCATTTGTAACTCTTTGGCAACATGGCCAATGATCCCAGATTAGGAGGGCTCTGGAAAGCCAAAATTACAATCAACAGTTTGAGTGGTATCATTTCAAAATAGCTTGTAAAAATTATAATCAGTATCCTTACTTATTCGTGATTTGGTAAACTGTATCTTTTTTCCCAACAGAAGAGAACTGAACTGTGAAGTCCTTTGTGCTCTCTGAGGATGCAGACATTTCATTACCTGACTAGATAATAGTATCAGTGCTAGTGAGGGTGGGGTTTGCTCTCTGTTTATATTCAGTAGTTTGCCCTGCCAATGTTGGTGGGAATGTGGTGTTCTCCTTGGTAATGAATCGTCTGCAAGCAAACAACCAAGCTCACAGTGTAGTTTTTTATGTGATTCACTGAGACCTATGTCAAAAAAGAAATAGAAAATATCATAGCCCAGAGTACTACTGATATCAGATATTTTAGCTAAAATTCTAGATTAGAGAGAGAGAAATAACCTGAAGTAATGAAAATGTGACAATTATTTCTTGGTAAGATATTTCTGTCTTCAATCAATTCTACAACAACAATTCCAGTTGTGAAGATTTTGATAATTTGGTGGGATGTTTCCCAATTAACATGTTAATCAAGAAAGCAGGATATTTAATTTTCCTGATTAACACAGATTTACAATAGCAAGCAAAATAAAAATATTCAGTATTGTAGCCATAAATATTATAGTACTCTGTTCACATCAGTACCGCTAGTTATTTTTTCACTGCTTAAAGCATCCAATTCACCTCTGAATACAGAACAGTTTTTTCAGCAAGCAGGTTAATATTATCAATGCTTGTTTATTTTTCTTTTAAAAGATAAACTATTCATTCAAATTTTAATGTGCAGTGCATTTTAGACAACAGAAACCTGGCAATGGTAAATCAAAGCATATAATGTTAAGAATTAAATGGTATCTTTTTATAAATGCTAGACAAAAGTTTAAAAGCAATTATAAAACAATCAAATTAGTGGATGCAAATCTCTCGACAATTATGTATGTGTATGTACACACACACATTACGTACAAGCTTTATTTGTAACTCAGCTAGAAATGGAATCCTAGAATTAGAAGAATCTGACTTTATTACCTAACACCCAATTTGAGTTACTAGATTTTTTTTAAAAAAATAGTATGCTGTTATGATTTTTTGCCTGAACACTCTAGATGTATTATTATGGACTATTTTTGTGCTAGACACACAGGCAATACACCCAAACAACTTTGACCTCCCAAAGTATTCAGGAGTAGGATATTTTTGCATACAAATAATTAATTCTATTTTTTTTATCTCCCATATTAAACTGGAAAGAAAAGTAAATTGGCATGACTGCAAAATACAAGTTTCTTAAGAGATCAGAAGTGATTCTCCTGTACTCAAAAGATCCTAATTGCAGTTCCTCAGAATTAAACCACCATATCCAAACTATTAGGAATAGACTGATGGGAATGTATTCAGAAATAACAGAGATCAACCTCCACCCTGTTAATAAGCTTGGAAAAAGTGGCCAGGGGTTGGAGGAGTCTCACCTCACACTTGGCCAGAAATACTTGCTAGAAACCCAGCTATAAATGTAAAAAAAAGAACAAATTTCATCTTTGTCAATGATTCTATAACTGTCAAAAGCCGGCTGCACCTGCTGTTATGCAGCTGTGAAAACACACTGTAATTTTGGCTTTCCCCTCTTTTTCCAATCATATTTCATTATTTGTTCACATCACAGTCTCCTCATCCTACAAGCTTTTAAACATTCTGTGTGAGGCAATCAAACCAAAGCACAAGTACAGTCAGTAATGCAAGACGTGTTGCACATTTTCTTCCTGACCCGTGATGAAAAGCACCTTTCTTTCTGGGTTTTTGTTCCAAATAAATGATCTTTTACTAAATTATGCTGATCCTGACTCCTGTGTTCTCTCTAATATTACATATAGAAGGTTAGAGAGGGTAAAATTTGGATTCTTATCCAATGGAAAATATGGTGGCAGTGCATGTTATGTTTTAAAATGAGAAAAGGCTTTTTTTCCCCTGTACAACCAGGGGCCTCGGTAGATGCTTATTCAAGAAATATCCAAATGCATTAATTTGGAAATTGTACATAGTTTTGCTATTCAGGGAACTCTTTATAAACTGTTTTTAATTGGTGAAATGTGTTTGAATTTTTATAGATAAATTTTTTTTTTAGGAATTTTCACTGGATTTGAAAGAAAGAGAGACTTTGAGGGATTACATTTTTCTAAACTATTTTAATCTTTCAGGAAATTGATTATTTTTTCCCCACTTTCCATTCCTATTCCTATCATGACCTCCACCTCCTTTCCTCCCTTCTCTCACCACGAAATCTCCTGAGCTGTATTGGGGGGCCTTTAGAGAAAGATAAAACCTGAAGCAGTGCCTTGAATTCGACAGACTCGTAATGGAAGTGTGATGTGTGTAACAGGACTGAATGGTTATTTTAATTTGGGGAGAAGTAGTTCATGATGAATAATGTAATAAATCTAACAAGTATTCCAGAAGTCCATTTTTTTTAATGCACTGACTCTTTTGGAAAGTGAATGATGGAATAAAACAAGAGAAAGCATTTTAAGAGGAAGCCCATTTTTGTGGTTAAGTACCTAAGGATCAAGTATTAATCCATACACACAGACACACAGACACAGACACACACACACACACATAGACACAGAGGAATTTCCCTTGTGTGTATTTCAAATAACATCACCATTCATTCATACATACTTCTTCTTGCCTTTTATATTACTTAAAATAACTTGGCACATTTCCCTTTATTGAACCAAAAAGATGATTTCAAAATGTTCCAAGCATATTATTTTCTGCTTCTCACCTCCTTTGGAGGTCAATTTAAACGTTGTGACTTCAATGCAAAGGCAAATTATGGCACAAAAGAATGGATTATTAAATTAAAAAAATCAACATAAATATCACTTTGCTGTACAATTTTCACAGCCCAGGCCCATTCATTTTTATTCACATTTTTATAAGTTCCCGCCCCATTTTAGATCATAAAATATATATTTAAAATCTTTGTTCATATTTAAAAACATATTTACAGAAAAAGACAAGTCCCTTCTGTTAAAATCATGAAGAGTCTGTGCAAGGAGATGGAGGAGGGGGATAGAGGTGGAAGTAACTCCGCTCAGTAGCTGGAGATGGTGGGCAGCTTTCCTCTGCTGACATGTACTGGCTGCGAGGAGTAGGAGGAGGGGGATAAGGATCTGAGTCTGAATTTAAGTCGATGTAGTATTTGTTGGCTTTCCACCGACTTGTGGTGTAGTCACTGTCACATACATCTGTGCTGCAGGGGGTAGTCGGTGGAGCAATCCCTCTGATAAGATAGGGTCTAAAATACAAAATACACATTAATAGCATTGTAGAAAAATTCTGCAGGCTGGGAAAGGACAGAAGTTGGAGACTTTCCATTTCTTTTTATCTGCAGCAAATTAACCATCAATAGATACACAGACATAGACAACATCTACATACGGTGCAAAGGAGATCATCAGCAAGCCAAAAAGGGAACAAAAAATCCCCCAAACACCTCCCCAACAGCAATCAATACCCAGATGGGTATAGATTAATAGCAAGCTTAACATCAAGAAGTAAATAACATACCCCTATCAATGAACTGCCAAAGAAGCTAACATTAAACAACTCACCCAAAGAACCTCCAAGACCACTCCCACCCACGCTGGCATGACAAGTTACTAGAACAGAGGTCCCCAACCTTTTGGGCACCAGGGACCAATTCCGTGGAGAAAGATTTTTCTGTAGATATGAGAGTGCGTAGTTTTGTGTGCAGCCTGCTTCCCATGGATGGGGCTTTGCTTGTTTGTCCGGACTGGTTACTGGCATGCTGCGACCCGGTACTGGTCCACGGACCGGAGGTTGGGGACCCCTGCACTAGAATATAATCTGAGAGTAAATCCCACTCCTTATTAGCACTGATGATGTAGTAGAAAGAGCATCAAGGACCCCCCATACTGGGGTCCTTGGTACTCATGTTTTTCTGAGCAGTCTAAAAATGCATGTCAACGTTAAGTCCAATCCTGAAATCTTATTTCCCAGTTCGAAGATTCCACCAATCCACCACTGTACAAAGCTGACAACTGGAGCAATTTTATTAGAAAAAGAAAGTTTTCACTTTTATATCCAAAGCTGCTATATACGCAAAGTAAGAAGCAGACATTTAAAAACTAAGAGTTAAAGAATCCGCCAAATGATTTTGAAAGCCATTACCTGTAAGACCTTGTTGTCGATGGAATGTTTGAAGAATAAAACATTTCTGTGTTATAAAGGGAGCGATCTGTAGCTGGTGAAGGTGGTGGGTTCAAAATCTGTGTGAATGTAAAATGAAATAGTTTAATGATGTCCAATGGGAGCTACTTCCACCAATGAAATCATTTTAGATGCCTGAGGACAAGTTGGCCTTCTGTGCTTCCTTTGGGTAATAATCTAAAGGCCACACTATGAGAATCTGTTTCAAATCCAGATGTTTTTCTAAAACAACGGGATCATTCTATTAATGTGCCACCATTTAGAGCAGTGTTTCTCAACCTTGACAATTTTAAGGCATGTGGACTTCAACTCCCAGAATTCCACAGCCAGCATTGCTGGCTGTGGAATTCTGGGAGTTGAAGTCCACATGCCTTAAAATTGTCAAGGTTGAGAAACACTGATTTAGAGGTAGGTAGGTAGGTAGATAGATAGATGGATAGATAAACGTTCTGCTAATTATTACATTAAGGAATCAGCAAACATTTTGTAGTAATTTATTTCCATGAAATACTTGGGACTCCAGGGTAAGGGATAGCAGTTCTCCACAATGTTACCATGGTCCGTTCCAGGAGTGCCATCAGAGGTGCATTTGCTTAAATATAAATGTTCAAGTTGGGTACATATGAGAAGCAGAGAACCGTTCTCCAGCTCCCAACAGCTATTGCCATGTCATGGCTGACTGAGAGTAAACTGGGGGTCTTTGAGCCCAATCTTTCTTTAAGACTAATTGATTCAAATTTCATGTTTGCATGATAGCAGCCCCTCCCTCCTCAACAATTATCTAGCTAAGTGTGCTGTGCAAGCAGAGCTAATAGGAACTGAAATCCTAATTGCAATATGACTTATACAATTTTCAACACTTACCTGTGGATAAAATGTGGCTTTTGTACTAGATGAACTACTAGAGGAAGCTCCGGTGACGTGGTTTCTGTCATAAAGAGGGGCACCACTGCTTCCACCCATTAGGCTCATGGAGCTAATCATGGATTTTCCACAAGAGATGCCTATATGGATAGAAGAAATTAAGAATAACCTGGAGTCCAGTTATATACTCACTGAAATTTACCAAACTGTGGTAAAAGATGTCTATGTGGACTGCAGAATATTTCTTGGTTTTATCACACGGCTTTAAAAAAAATACAAAGTTCCCTTTAAATTCTCAAATGTAGGAATTCCTTCCTACACAAACTGGAACATTTTCTTAAATATTAGAATTGAAAAGATCTCTGCACAAGCAATACATATCCTATAATATGCACAGCTTTGCATCGTATCTACAAACAATCCTATTCAAAGCACACTACTAGAGGATCTTCAGAGGATATGGCTGAAAGAATAATAAAAGATCTCAAATTCTGAGCGCTGGCATTCCAAAGGAAGCAAGAATCAATGTCCAAATATTGCCCCTTCATTCTATTTTGGAAGATTCTAAAATAGTAGTTTGGTCGGAGATTCCACAGCAAGAGCAATATAATGAAGATCATCATATAACCACAGCCAGTTGTTATTTAGCATGTGGCAAAGTAAAAAAAAATATTCTAAAGAACATTGTAGCAATACATAGATGCACAGTTACTATTACCTGTAAAGGTCCCATGCTGAGAACTTCCTGGAGCAATGAAATTTAAGGGGACATGAGGGGTCCCACTGACATATTCATGTGGAAAAGGTCCATTAGGCCCAGCATAGCGTTGGCAAACCACACGCTGGCAAACAAAATACATGCCTCCCATGACGAAAAGAGTAAGAATGATTCCAATCACAGGACCAATAGCATTACTGTGGGGTCCAGAATCATCAGAGGATTTAATTTTTTCTGTAAAAAAAAATATACAAGAAATTAGAACTCTATCTCCTCCTTTTTAACAGCCCTACAAATGTTAGCGTAAAAATAGCAGAGGGCCTTTTTGACACAGGCTTCCAGTTACTAACAACTGGCCGGTGGGATTTACATTTTAAGTAATTTTTTTACTTATGCGAGATACCAGTACGCTGAAGTTCAATTGTCATCTTTGATGTTGCAGATCCTGGCTGAAAAGGTTCTCCTCTATAGAATGTAATACTATAGGAACAATTCCAAGTTTCTACTTTATCCCCAAAGTTTATATCTATCTATGGTCCACTACTGTAAATCGTATGCAGATTGGTACTTCTAATCCTAGATGGCTTTGGGTCATTCCCTATGTGCAATGGATCTGCAATCACTGTGGGTGCTTATTTTTTTCTGTGCAAGTGGTTAGAGCAACTAAGTTTTAACAATGTGTGCAGTGCCCAAAGGGGAGCATTTGTCAAAGAGGATCAACAAATAATGAGAGTGAGAAGGAGAGGAGCCTATTAGAAATAATGTTTGTATTAAAGTTTGTAGAAACAAATACTAAAAGTTTACTTCCGTCTCCTTCTGCAGAAAAGCACTTTTCTCCTGTCACCTCATATCAGCTGTCTAGTATAGTAAACCAGATGTTGCCTTCTCTTTTATCATCTTTTTACGATTCACTGTAAATGAATCTTTCAGTAAATTTACTAGCAAAGCACATATGTGGCTGAAATACTGTACAAAGGAAGAAAGATGTGGAATACTCAACTGTATCACCTTTCCTGGTTTGTGAGTGACACCTTCCCACTCTCACAATATCTGCTTTAGCAGCCTTTGTCAACTGGCAGAGTCCACAAGTGTCACCTTTGACTATAACTCAACTATAACACACTGATAAGGGTCTACTCAAACCTGGAATCAATCTAACATCACTTAGGAGCCCCCAAGCTTTAGTGAATTCAAAGAAGCATTCAGACAGAACTAATATTTCATGCATGTTCTCTTAATAACTTCAATAGTCCTTTTCAATCTTCAAAAGGCTATTCGATGTTTACTTTGTTTTACTCCCATGAACATTCCATAGGGCATATCGGGGATTTGATGGTGACTGGGTCATGGTAACTTGTGTTTTTTTCCATATTAAGTTGGCCCAAGGAATACATACTCCAAATTATTTTAGGGTCTTCTTTCTTGACCCTGGGATAATGAAACTTGTAATCCAATGCATCTGGAAGGCACCAAGTTGGGGAAGGCTAGTTTGCAATAGGTAGCATTTTATTACAAGGACCCTTGTGGCTCTTTTCTGCATAAAATGATCTCTATTGCAACATAGTTATCAATGGCAATCACTCTAATGGAAAATAGCCAGTTTAATTCCTTTTAGAACTTTCTGGAGGTTATCAGAGGGCTGCTATCTCTAAGTATTTTTTTCCCCTCAACCCCAAAACATACAGGGGTCCTAGGGCTGAAAATACAGAATTATTATCAAACTATCTACAGTCACAAAATGGCATTTATGGTTAGCATAAATGATGGAGGGGTTAAAGCCAATCTGAACAGCCACCAAAGATCTAGGCGGACAAGAGGGAATTGCATCTGCTCTGGCCTTTTGATAATAGATTTATTTTACACAGCTGTTTTTTTTCACAGGATGTGGATTTGGCTAGATCTGAAGAAAGAAAAATGACAGCTTTCTGAAAACTGCAAAGCACCATTGAAGATTACGACATTTCAAGGACAAAAGTATTAACCCTCAGTAACAATAAATATTTGCTTTTCTAGACTTAGAAAATAAACAGTGATCCCTGGATCCAAACTTGCCTTTATGAAAACTGATAGCTTCCAGTTGTGTTGGGCTGAAAACCTTCAGAATTTCCTAATTGTTGGCTAAGTTGGCTAGGAATTCTAGGAATGTTAGCCCAACACAAATTTTGTAAAGATAATTAACAATAGGAGGCATTTTACAATACCAACTTACCGGTAAAAAGTGCCTTATCACAAAAAAGTTCATCAGAACCATCAATGCAGTCCGGAAAGGAGTCACACTGCTGTTTTTTGAGAATACACTGGCCATTGGCACACTGAAAGTGATTCTGGAGACAAATAGCTGTGAAGAGGTGGGTGGGACAGGAGACAATCACCAAAACAATTTTTAATACTGTCAAGATAAATCAACCAAACCTAAACTAAATAATAAACACATCACTTTCTTCAAGACAGCAGTTGTTTTATAAGCCTCCAAGAGCCACAAATAAACATTATACTCGATCCTCTTAAAATCAAGCATCTGGCAGAAAGCATAAATGCAAACCACTCACAGTCTTCTGTTAAGCACTGAAGATATGGGAGGATGAATTATTATAGTGTCAATGTAGAGTTTACTCTAATCCCTTAAAACAGGGATGAACAACCCGTTTGTGGTTTGAGGGCACAATTTAAAAAATATAGGGGGGAAATAGAAAGAACAGAAGGCTACGAGGAATGTGACAACCATGGCCTGACATCATGTGAGAGTGCATAAGAAGAATGTTTTATTCTACTTTTGGAATGGGTTGATTGATTAATTCATTACATTTGCTTTTATTTATATGCTTGATTAATTCATTACATTTGCTTTTATTTATACACTGCTTTTTCTGGAAGGTTCTGGATGGCTAATAATAACTTCCCTGAATAAGAAATCTCCTCAGCAGCAGCAACAACAAAAAAGCCCATTTGATTTATTAACCATTCACCATAAAACAAATGATCAAAATTATACACTGAAGAAAATGTACAAGACAATTCAAATTCTCCACTTGCACTTGTGGGGGAAAGGAAACAGTCATAATTGCTCTCCTGAAAATCAGGAGGGAAGAAGAAGATCTCCATAGGGAAGGCATGCCAAAGTCTGGAAGAGCTGATAGAAAATGCTGGCTTCTGAGGTCTCATCCAGTAGCATCCCTATATAGGACAGGATCTGGAGGACCAGCCCTTATTTGATCTTAATGGACAGCAGATGAATGTGGGAAAAGACAGGCGCTCAGATAATGTAGGGCCTTACAAAATAACAACCAGAATCTTGGAATTGCATCCAGATGCCAACCAGCAACCAATACAAGTCCTAAAGCAGTCGAACCACCCAAGACTATTGGGATGTACCCATCCTATCACTGCTTAGGACTCCGCATTTTGTATCATTTATAGCTTCCAAATGCTTTCTAAGGCAGCACCATGTAAAGTGACTGTAAGTAGGGCCCCACAATAAAGACCACTTGGAGCACAAGATAGAATTAAACAAAAACCCTCTTAGTCACAGCTGCCAGCCCCCAGGTTGCAAACCATCTCTGAAGAGGGGAGTGCAGCTCCATTCACAGTGAACATCATCTGACCTTGAAAAGCGAATTTGTCTTGGAGGGTATCATTTTAAGACTGTCCCTTCCCATACAGGCCCTGACAGCCTCCAAGCATTGAATCAGAGCTTCTACCACCTCTCCTGTTTGACCAGGCTGAGATCTATAGGGGTGTATGTATAAGCATAGTCCCATTTGCTTCCCCTCGTTGCTGAATCTAACAATGTGTATGTGTCTAGCATAAGATAAAGTATACAGTTCTTACTTTCACAATAAGATTCGTCAGATTTATCTTGGCAATCAACTTCTCCATTACATCTCAAATGTGCGTCGATGCACTGCCCCTTCTCACATTGAAACTGGGTTGCTGAGCAGATGGGGCAGTTTTCTTCATCACTCTGATCGTCACATTCTGAAAAGCCATCACAACGCCATGCCATGGGAATGCAATCAATCTCACCAGTTGCACATGTGAACTGATCCGGGGAACAAGTTGGTGGCTCTGAAAGGGATTTTTTAAAGAACTGCATGAAATTCTTCAAACTATTAAATAATTTACAACAAAGAATGTGCTGTTTTATTTTTTTTTAAGGCCCTTGTAATAGATCCTGTAACATTATGACATTTATTTCAATCAGCCTGAACAATCACTCTGCCCAAGGCAACTCTACCACCTTTACAAATAAGACATGAAATATGCAGAATCCCGTAAATGGATTGAAAATCTGCAATCTATTATTTGGGGGCTATGTTTGGAAATGTTGTCAGTCTCAAAAAGACATCAAATTTCATCCTGCAATTTAGTCTGGAAAAGTAGTTCCAAAAGGAGCAAATTCAATGCCTTAAAAAGTAAGCGTCACATGTATCATACACCAAGTCTAAATTACAAATAAGTAATTCATGTGAAACACTGTAATTAGATAACTGCAATAAATGAAATGATAACTAAGAAGAGCTGTATTTATATAATTAAAAAGTAAACTAGCTTTTCCTTCAAGTCCCTGTATAGAAATCTGCCTTTCATGAAGAAGCTTGCCATTCAAAGTTAAAATGCACATGACAGCTACTTTAAAAAAAAGTGTTTGAAAAAAGTTGATAATAACAATCAAATGTTATTCGATAGAACAAAATTCTTATAGAACAAATTACAATTAACTGAAATTAATTGTAATTTCAGTTACAATTAATCTGCCTAGTTAATTGATTTCTAATATGAATAATAAGATCTTATTTATATCCAAAGTTTCCTTAAAATAATCATCACTGAACAAAATTTTGTGCCTTTTTTTCTAAGGATTTATCAGCTAATAAGAAAAAAAAATATTTTCAATACAACATCATTCTACAAGGATTTAATTTCACCACTTTCAAGGAGGGGTGATATTAATTCAGAGCACTTCTGTGTGGATCTTTTTGTGCATATCATGCATGTTTTAAATGATGGATGGGGCACTGCATACTTTTATAAAGTCTTCTTTTCTGTGGTTTTGTTATCCACAATTTTGAATGAAACCGAGGAATAACAAAGATACCCTTGTAATAGTTTATTTTATTTAAATCCTCAAAGGAAAGTGACAAAGGAAAGAGAACAGGTAAAAGAAACACTCGGGGTAGATGTCATTTACAAATAGGGCTGCTCTCAGTAGTATTTAGTACTCCAATCACAGTATTTCCTGGAATGTTTGACTAGTTGCATCACTTTGAAGAAGTTCAAAGGCACTATTGCGTACAGAATCTCTCAGTATGAACTCTGTTTCGAAATATCTACATGATGTATTGATGAGATCACTCAAGGGTTCATGGTTTGAATTTGATCATTAGATTAATAAAATCCATCGCTTGTTTACAACTCATGAGTGATTATGAGCAGGTCCTCAATATGGAGTAAGAAACTGGGATTCAGTCCAGACAAAACAGAGGTTCTGCTGCTCAGCAGACAATCTAATATGAGGTTGGGCGCAGTCTGTTCTGGATGGAATAGTTTTAGATTATACTTGTTTTAAGGGGAAACAAATGAAAATGCCCCTTGCTGTTATCTTTTTCCATTGACTTTCTATTCTATTTCACTGAAATAAAAGAGCCTAAGAAACAATTTTGAATTAGACATCACTACAGTGACATTTTCTTACAGCATTTCCTCATGATAATGAATAAAGAATCACAACATAGTTTTTGGTGGGAACAACCAGCATAGTTATAAAAACAGTAAAATGCACTGTGCTTTAGTTAGTGTACATTAAACTCACTATGACTTTTATAACACTCCCTGTCCACTATAGTACAGATATTATATAGGTCTTGTTAATATACTATCACAGTTACAGAACGATTACTATGTATGTAAAGATGGTAGTCAAATTTATCTGCTGAATTTAAGTTGTTCTCATAATCTCATTTAGGTGCAAATACGGCCTGTCAATGACAAAGGGTTGAGTGCATGAACCGGTCAAACAACGTGAAGGGTTCCCACAAAATGGGGCCCTGCAGATCTTTCTGAGTTTAACTCAAATAATTCTCACGTTGTCTGCTACATCTAGGGAGCAGTAGCTGAGGAAAACTGTTCTAGAGCCATGAAATACAAATATATCTGCCTTGAGAAGCTTAAATGCTTGCCGATCTTTCCTGAAAGGAAAGCTTTTGCTTAAGATTACTTACCTCCACACGTTAAGAGGTCCTGCAGAAGTACCAAATGAACAGGGCAGGAACACCTTGGAGTTCCATCTCCTTTTGCTATACAGAGGTGTGAGCATTTCCCGTTATCTCGAGAACACGGGTGGGTTGCTTCATGGAGAGAAAAAGGAGGATAGCAGTTGTTTATAGAATAGGGGGTAATAGTTTGAAAATTCCAAGTATCTTTGCAGACATTTCATCACTGCACCAAATTGCTATATCACATTTAAACTCTTAGAGAAGGGCAGGTGGGGGAGGAGGTATAAAGGCAGCAATAGGGCATGGTAAAGAGAAGAAAAACCCCCCAAAAACACTGCTTTAAGACATTAGAGGCATTCTCAGTCAACACCTTTAGAATATTGATCAGTTGTGCCTTCTTGTTCCATTTTTAGCAGCAAAGGAGACTCCATCTCACTAAAACAAAGAAAGAACTGAGAGCGCACCCTTATTAGCTTGGCTGAGGCATTCACTTAAAATTAGCTTCACACCCTCCCCTCTCTAAACTATCTGTTTCCACTCAAACTGGTAATTAGTAATAACTTTAAGAACTATTTGTTTCCTCTGTTCTCCTTTTTTCCTTTTGAATTGTGGCATTTAGACATGGGGAATAGGGAGGGACATCGTTTTCTGCCTGAATATATTAAATATATTCTATACACTTTACAAATGGTAATAATTAAATACTGCCAATATGCATGAAAGAGTAGCCCTTTGAGACCTATTTTAATATATTTAATTGATATATAAGCTGCCTGTCTTCTTTGGTGAAGAATGAGTTTTATCAACAATGGAAAAGATGAATTCCTTTTCTACGTTCTCTGAAGCTTGTACGATTTTCTTCTAAATAACTATGCATAAAATTCAAGCTGCACAGGATACAAGCTGAACTAGTATCCCTTCTAGAACTGGGCTCAATATTACCTGAGATCAAAAGGCAGGTGCATTCTTGGCTCCCAGCAAGCATGGGAAATTTTAAGAGGAAAAACATAACAATTTTTTCCCTACTTGTTCATTCAGATGAAAAACTTAGGAAAACATCCGAGTTTAATGTATAAACTCATGGTGGCATTAGAACAATCACTGACTTTTAATAAACAAGAAAAGGTCAACGTTTTTCAACACATGTCCCCTTTGAAAGATTTTTTGTGTGTGTGATGCTCTTCAAAATGTGCACACTGCCTCCTGCTTGATCATTAAAAGACAAAGGGTTAACTTTCTTATTGTATTTTCTGATACCTAGGATTTTGCTGTTGTAACATAATGATTGTGGGCAATAGATAAAGAAATAATGAATGAGAAGGTTTCATCATGTAACAGCCGATTTCTTTTAGAAAGAGTAGCCCACACATGTAGGGAGATTTCATATCATGACAAGCAAGTACCAAAAGCAAACAAAAATCAAGTCTCTCCAACAAAATCAGAAGATATCTCACCCAGGGCTGAAGGTGCTTGTTAGTGGAGTTTTCTAGTATTTTGGGCTTACAAAGCAGTGATGGAAACTGCTTAGGAAGGCTGTGGGGAGCAAGGTTTTTTTGATCCCTTTGAAACATTTAACAAGATGATTTCTAGATAAAAGTTCTGCTGAGTGAGAACAACAAAAAAGCCTTAGCCTATCCTGAAAAACCACTCCTTCTATGAATGATACCTTCATTCATGCAAAGAGCAGATTTTTTGCTAAATGTATTTTTTTCTGTGGATGAAGCATGAATTCTGAGATAATACGGTCCACTCTGGATACATTTGGACCATCTTCAAAATTAGAGAACTTTGCTCCGACAAACTGTTAGCTAAGTTGGCTTGTTTGTGGCTTCAGAATCACATCAAAGGGATTTAAATTTTAGTTTAATTTTAATTTAAAAAGTTGTTGAACATTCTACTAGATCTCAGCCAAAAGAAAATACATGGGACAAAATAATCTCTATTTAAGATGAATTTCATTCAGAGTTGATTTATGTTTTAAGAGGCCTGCCTCTTAAAAAAAGTGTAAGTAGATATTTATTGGAAAAGACGATTTAAATTTCTGCATGTAAGTGCTTACTGCTGTGTAACTAGATCTAGTTAGATTTCTATTCTCTTAGCTCCTGCCTTTAATTTTTACTACCCACTACATCTCACTCTTTTCCTGACTTCGCATAATGTTGCCTATCCAGGAACAGCATATTGAGTAAGTATGTATATATGTATGTATGTTTAAACTATTTACTCCTGTTGCACTGGTCTCTGACATTTTGACAGTAGAAGTTTTTCAGGAAGCAACCAAGCCCTAAGTCAATTTATTTCCTTTTTAAAAAGAGGTTACTGTAATAGAATATTCTGTTAGTTGTGGATGGGACACCCAAGAGAATCTGTAATAGGTATTGGGCACAATCACCTTGAAACTGGAGATGAAAATCAGAAATTGGAATATTATCTCACATGATCTGGAGATGTCCTACTGTTGCCACTTTGGAGACTGAAATCTACAGGATCATCAGTGCAATTTTTTGTACACAGAGTACAACTGAAAAATGTATTTATTTATTTACTGGATTTATATGTTGGTGACTCATGTAGGCTCATGGTTGCTTATAAAATCTATTATAAAACAATGGCAAATACAACATTTAAGATGCTTATGGCAGTGACTAATCTATAGTTAAAACATCCATAGCAATAATAATTAAAACATATAATGTAATGTGAGATTTAAAATGTCTAGAGTGAAAGTAAGCAGCCACAGTAGCAATGATAACATTACTGTAAATACAATCACAGCAATTCTGTGTGCAAATACCAAAAAGGTTAACTATCAACAAAGGCTTTCTGGAACATCTAAGGGTTAACAATCTTCCAGAAGGACTTCATAGTGGGGATCGTTTTCATTATACAATACTGAAAGGACAAATTTACAGCTGATCTGCTATGAAGTATTGCTAATATATATGATTTGTCAAGTGGGTGGATTCAGGTGCAAGGATGAAGACTGTTGAGCAATCTGTTCAAATCCTTTGGAAATTTCAGTTATGAGATATGTATACAAGCCTTTCTTAGATTTGTTTCTTTTCTGTCTGTAGATGAAGAATGTCAGATCTATGTAGTTTTGCTAATTTGGTGTTATATGTAACTTTTAATCTATTGCATTAAGATAAAAATTAGGTAGACAGCCCTAATAAACAAAAATAAGTAAATAGTAAATGAGGAGAGGAAGTGGTGATTGTATTTATTTTAGAGCTGGATCATAGTTGAAATCATGACTCATTTTCTATTATGGAATGATCATTTCCAAAACCAGAATCAGTCTTGGAATTGCCAAATCAGTTGATTCTAATTAAAAAGAAAAAAAGAGAATGTTCTGGAATAAACATTCAGCATTGTTATTCAGCCATGAAGTATAATGATCACTGACCATATGGCAGTGGTCATTATCAAATCAAGAATTGTAAACCAAAGGAGTTGGGTTTACTAACTAACATTTGACATATGAAACTCATTTGTTTTTCCAATAGACATGGCTATTTCTTGATTTCTACTCACTTTTGAAAAACAGTGAATTAGAATGCCTCAGCCAGATGAAGTATATTGTTAGATTCACAATGTGAATAGTGGTTTGTTTTATTGCAAGATCTTCACCAGTACATGAGGTAAACAATGTGGTGTAATGATAAGGATCTGGATTTGGATTAAGCTTTTCAAAATTCAAATTCCCACTTGATCCTAGATCTCAGAGTATTCAATGCCAAACTCTTTTTTAGGATAGACTCAAGTAAAAATTGTCCTCAGAGTTTAAATTCCTATTAGAACCAACTCATGAATCTGGGCAGCAAGTTGAGAATAAAAAAGGTAATGTAACAGGATATTGGAGAAAATTAAGAATTTAGTATTATAATAAACTTACAGAATTCGTCCATATCAATATCTTCAATGGCATGGATACCAGTTAGGTGAGCAATTCGACCTTGTATTCTGGTCCTCTTGTATCCATTAGTTTTCTCCACTCTTTCTATCATCTGTTGCTGCCGATCAATCCAGTAGAGATGATTTCCCAGAACTGTCAAACCCATTGGCTGGAGAATGTTGGAATCTTGTAATGTGACCCGGTTAGCCCCTGAGAGTATAATACAACTTTTGTCAATATAGGCTTTCTTTCCTTTTTTTTTTTTTTTTAAAAAAGGGAGGGTTTCGAAAAAAAGTAATAATGATTCTTAAAAATTACTACCGCTACTAGATAGTTACTGGGCAAAAAATAGTATTTTGATTTTTGTTCTACACTCAATAGCCCTTACATGAGTAAAATGAATATTAAAACAGATTGCAACACTCATTAAATGACCAATGAGAAAATAAGTAGAACCAGTTTCATCTAATCCAGAAAGAGAAGAATATATTAAAGTTATGTAGATTCTCCTATACAAGTGATTTTCAGGCAAAATTATATTCAATGTCTCATAAGAGAAATATTTTATGAGCAATTTTTCTTAATAATTACATTTCATGTAGCATTCAAAACAGAAGTGAATAATAACATTTAGAAAAAGGACTAGTACAGTATATTCTAACATATATTAAGCTAGAGAACAGAATTAGCTCAATTCATTTAAACATACACATGAAATAAAGTTCTTTCCATTTGTCAACTGAAAGGCTAAAGAAGCCCATCTTCAGTATTATATGCCTTATTGTAGCTGGGTCCTCAGCTCATTTTGAACAAAAAAAGATAATCAGTCACTTTTTTTATTTCTTAAAATATAAACTGCAATGGTTTATTTTACTGAAAAGTTACAGCAGATTTTGCAAACCAAACAGAGAGTAAGGCCCAATTTCAACATGCTGTTTCCCATGTATAGCAACATCTCATGTGGCTACTTTATATGTTGTATAAACAGAGGCACAGAATCAAAATCACATGAGGTATTAGTACCGCTTTATAAATCCTTAGTAAGACACTTGAAATACAGCATCTAGTTTTGGTCACCACATTGCAAAAAAGATGTTGAGTCTTTGGAAAGAGTGCAAAGAAAAGCAACTAAGATGATTAAAGACCTGGAGGTAAAAACACATGAAGAAAAGATTGCAGGAATTGGGTATGGCTAGTCTAGAGAAAAGGAGGAGTAGGGGGTGGCATGATAGCAGAGGGGCTGCCACAAAGAAGATGTGGTCAAATTATTCTCCAAAGCACCAGAAGGCAAGACAAGAAACAATGAATGGAAACTAATCAAAGAGAGAAGCAACCTGGAATTAAGGAGAACTTCCTAACAGTGAGGACAATCAACCAGTGGAACAGCTTGTCTTCAGAAGTAATAGGTGCTTCATCACTGGAGGTTTTTAAGAAGATTAGACAGCCACCTGTGTGAAATGGTATAGGGTCTCCTGCTTGTCCAGGGGGCTGGACTAGAAGACCTCCAAGGTCCTTCCAGTTCTATTTTGATTCTGATTTAACTTTACAGTTATATAATTATATTTATGACATTACATAAATTGATTTAAATCTAATATATAAAATTAGATATGGCTTTCAGAGAAGCATATGATGTGATTACATATTTATAAGATGGTGTTAAAACAGAATAAATTGGCTCAAATTGAGCAAAGTGAGGTATGGAGAATTGCAACAATTCACACCAAATCTCCAGAACATCGGTGCAGAATCTTACATCTTCTCTACCTAACAGAGAATCATTGTTACCAGGAGTCAGTGTGCTGACCACATTGTGGGTGAGTATCTATAGAAGAGTAGTACCAATCCTACAGTTTCTTTGATAGCTCCCTCCGTCTAATCTTTTACCAATCACTAAGAAAAGGAAGGTGGAAGAGAAACGGGGCTGCCAACATATCATTACAAAGATTTTGTAAAGGAATAAGAAATAAAGTTTGACATCAAGTCCTATTTTTCACTTACGTTAAAAATCCTCACAGCGTAGCCACTCCTGATGGAGTTTATATTAGTGGTAGCTAAAATTAATCTGACAGTTTTATTGATCTGTTCAGGGTTAACCTGAAAACGGCTCTCCTCCATAATGGTTAACTTAAGGTAAAACACGAACATTTTGCCTTCTTTCCCCTTATGTTAGAAAAAAAATGTTTCCGTTTCATGACAGACGATTGTTGTCATAAGGGCCATTCTGCAGCAAATGGGCATTTGTTCTTGAAGCCCCTGGCTGCTGGCTTCACATGATTTGGAGAAGTGATAAAGTTTTCTAATCTGAGAGGGGAGAGGAGGTTCAGACAAAATCTGTTGTCCCTCGTATGATATACTTCATATTAATTTATAGTAAATGGTAAGTAAAGAAAGTAAAAGAGCCAGGGAGGGTAGTGGGTAAGGTGGTAAAGTTCTATTTAACCCCTACATTCACCAGGTGACTTTCAGCCAGAAACTTAAGGGGGGGGGGGATGAAGGACAAACTGCTTTGTACAACATTGTGAATTCTTAAAGGAAAGATGGGATATAAATATCAACTACACCACTGACAGTTATTGAAAATGCCCTAGAAAAATAGAACATAAGCTACTACTCTAAAGTATAACCAATTTTGTATTCCACGCAGAAACAGTAATGGACAATCTATTTGCAGCACAAGAATTTTAATATTAATTTATGAACAAACAAAATGTAGCACTCTGAAGAATTATATGTGATGCATATTGCCTACTTAATAATGCTAAAATTCTCTTTTATCCTAGTTATCTTTCTTCTTTTCATTATACTAAAAGAGCTTTATAGTACTAGGGGTTTTGTTTTGTTGTCTTTTTATCCTTACTTTTTCTGTTTTTAAAATATGCTTTTAGCAGAATTATTAAAATCTATATTGACATAAAAATACAAACGTGTTATTCTGTTTCTAGTTCAACTGTACTCCATATTTTTATTATATTAATAAATTAAGCTTTCCTCTCCTGGGCATAGATTCATATTCCTGGCTACTAAAGTCCTTTTGGCCCTATTAATGTATAATATTGTGTGTATAATTATTTAATTTACAAACTGGCTGGCTCCACCAGGACTCTGGGTAGCATACAGAATAAAACAATTAAAACAGTGCAATCAGAGGCAATTACAAAAGCAAGTGTCCCCCAAAAATAATACAATAATTTCTGTTGTTGAACTGGTTTCTGATTTATATATATATATTATATCCTGCTTTGGATATATAGTAGAGTATGGTGGTGGTAACAGTATTTATTCTGGGATCAGAACAAATTATCATCATTATCACCATCTATAAACATTCATATCCTGTAATAATATTTGAAGCAAATAGCTAAAAATGTAATGAACTAAGTATAACCAAGGAGAAGAGTAAAAGCTGGAAAGTTACAAAGAAAATAGATAGAATAGTTCCACCACCAGAAACCCTACTTTACAGAAAAATTCATTTAGCATTCAGTTACAGGATCATCCTAGAATAATGAACTGGTTACTAGCTTGTGCAGTTCACCAAAAGATTCAATGGCTGGAATGGGTAACGAGGGACACTCAGGACATTTTATGCCAAAACAAGAGCACAACACACCTGATAGGTCACAACTTTCAATCCGTTTGAGATCAGCATCCACCCAAAAGAGCTTCCCAAGTTTATTGTCAATCACTAGGGCAACAGGTCGAAGCAAGCCAGTGGTGAAGAGCACTTCTCGTTCTGTTCCATCCAAGGCTGCACGCTCAATCTTTGGGGCTCGCTCTTGCATATTAGTGAAATACATGTACCTGACAACATATAAGAAAAATTGAATCCTTAATATCTGTGAGACAAACATCATGTATAATTATATTTTCTGCTATTAGGAGTATTTTCTGAAGTTGAACTTCCTTTCTCAACTTCTCAGGCAAATTAACTACGACCTTGTTTTGTACTGAAGGGAGATTCCAGTAAATTTTGTGGAATCTTTCTTGCTTGTAAATAAATATATAGCTAGAAAAAGGATATCTGAAATACACCGTCCATTTGCTCCCAAGCCAAACTCCCCAGATGGACATTCTACACTTGGCTAAATAAAGCCAAAAGGATCGGGACCAGAAAAGTCTGTATGCATGACATCTCCCCCTTTCCATCATTACCCCAATATCATCACAACAACTGCTCTGGAGGGTTAGGACCACCTTCTGAGGCAGATGTGTGGGGAGAGATGGAATTACTGTCCTCATTTATCTATTTTTATTTAGTTTTATGATTTCTGCAGGAATTCAAGATTATAAAAACCCTTTCTGTGGATGGATATGTTATCAAGATTTTTTCCCCTCTTTTACATTTGAAAGTTTCAACAATAAAAAGAAATGCATTATTTCCACAGACACTTAATTAATCTCCAGAACTGTTAAGTAGCTTTTGTTTTATTAAATTAAAGGAGGTTAGAACACACTTGGTAGTCTAGCAATAAGAAACTATCAGGCAGCCCTATGAAATCGGCTTATAAAGTATCCCAAAGTAACAAGCAAAATACATTTTTATATCCTATGTAGCGTGGGCAACCTCCATGGAGCACTTTGCAACATTCAATGCAATATAACTTCTTAGAACTTGAGAGTATTCTCACCCTCGTTCTGCATTTACAACTATGGCCCTGGGCTTGTCATGATCTCCCCGTAAGACAACTCCAATTTGCTCCCCATTGAGTCTGTGGACATTGATTGTATTTGTAGCTTCACATGTCCAGTATAAAGTATGGCTGAAAATATCAATGCTCAGGTCATGTGGCTGCTTTTCTGGGTTTTGGCTTTGGTTGCGAATATTCATGACTGTGAAAGGCTACAAGAGAAAGAAAAACAAGGACAAAATAGGTAAGATTATTTGATGTCACGGTATACAGAAAATGTAAAACCAAATAATAGAGTTGTTACAGAAAAAAAAAACTAAGAATGTGATTTTATGCAATTCCATATAACAATCACACTGAGCTCAATTACTTTTAATCCTAGGTAAGTGTTTACAGGATTGCAATTTCAGCTGACCAATTCAGTGAAGACAATAATTCACAAAGACGTAGACAAAAAATCATAGCTTATTTTTTCTTCACTCAGTATTTTGCCAGACTTTGAGATGAACTATTCCTTCTGAGCAACAAATCCTCCACTTTCTAAAATGGTACCTACCAGTAGCTATTTTTATGTGCATATGTATTAAAAAATTCCTGCCTATTGAGGGAATGAAACAATCAAATTGTTAAAAGAAGGAACTGAAACATTTAACGCAAGAGCTAATACATTCACAATTTACTTTTAAAACCATCTACTTTCAACTTTGAAACTACCAAAACTATTTTAAAACTACTTTTACAATGGATTTAAAAGAGGTGATAGAAAAGAACTGGTAGCTATTTGAATGTGGAACTAAAAATGACATGTCACAAGAGTGATATGGAAAACATGTAAGCAAATATGTTTACATATGACACCAGTTGATATCTTAATAATTAAATAATAATAATGATGATGATAATGATGAAAAGGGACATACAGATAACAAATCAGAAGAGTGATTTGGGTAATTGTCTTATTCTGGATTTTTAAAAAAATGACATGTTAAACTTATTAAAGACGTTTCTGAAGACAAAGGGGAAATAAAAAAAAGTTTTGGGACACTATTTAAAAGGATTAAAGGTCAAGATACTTAAAAGCATAGGAAAGGAATATAAAGTTGGCTTATTGGTTAAAATAAGGTGTGTTGTTGTTCCTGATAAGTTGTTAAAATTATTTGTACTTGTCTTTATGAAGGGGAAAGTCATTCCTTTACATATCTCTTTTTTTTTACCATTTTTTTCTCTTTTCTCTTTTTCTGGTACCTTTTTCTTTTTATATTTTTCTCAGTTTGCATTAACTTTTTATTTTTGTATCTGTAAATTTTAATAAAAATTATTCTAAAAAATGGTGCTTGGGTCAGAGAAATCCCAGGGCTGTAAAGATAGCAAGAGCAAGCTGCTATTTATGTATTATTGTAAAGAAAGCTAGATGTTCATGTAGTCACCAAGCAGCAAGCATGCCTTTTTCTACATGATTTCATGAAAAAAAACCCTGAGAAATACCCAATTATGAATATTAATATTCAAAACCACTAATTAACAGAAACTGAATATGAAGCATCCCAATCATCAATATCACTGCAAATCTGGATACTGAAAAATGTCGCAAGGAGGTATTCTTCAAACCGTGAGACTCTTTTGCTTCTGCAGAACAGCAGACTGCATTGTAGCAAATAGTCACCAATGTAATTTGCACCTAAGAAGAGCACTAATGGGAAACAATTCAGCAATTAACGCCTAGCAAATAGTCTTCAAAGAGCAGGCCTGACACTTAGAGTGTTCCTCCTTGGTACAAACAAGATTTCATTATCTGGTAGAAAATGTACAGAAAAAATAATCAAATTAGCCCAGATAATCCTTTCCTATTCCCCTGCCTCTCATTTTTACAGGACGCGAAGTAGTGAAAATACATTCTTGGATGTATGAGAAAGAAAAAGCACGTTGAAAATTCAAGTATTTTCCACAGAAAAAGAACTTTACTGCAGCTTGCCAAGAAAGAAACAATAAAGGGGCTCCGTCCACAACAGCTAAAATATGGCAGTATAAATAGAAGGTGTTTGATTGAAGACCCTTTTTTTCTTTCTACTCCTTCAGAAATGTCCTAGTTTGGAATTAGCAGTCTTCTATCACAACAAGAAAAGTTTTAGGGCAGGGGAGAAAAAACATTTTAAGTGGTTCTTTCTCACCCCTAAGATGGCAAGGTGGGGTTTTTTTAGCTTCATTTCAGTTTAAATCCTGTAACGCAGAGGTCCCCAACCTTTTGTGCACCAGGGACCGGTTCCGTGGAGAAAGGTTTTTCCATGGACCGGAGAGTGCATAGTTTTGTATGCTGCCTGAATCCCACGGATGGGGCTTCACTTGTTTGCGTGGCCCAGCTGTTGGCATGCTGCGGCCCGGTACCAATCCACGGACCGTGGTGTTGGGGACCCCTGCTGTAAAAGAAGACTTGTTTTGGGAGGACACTGCAGGACCAGGTTGCAGGACTCATTGATACAGCATGTTGCTACCAAAATGTATGGTATCAGTTTAGACACATAAAAATACTTGCCTGGCTGCCGTCATCTTTTGCCCTTTTAATAATGTTTTGGCGTCCATCTATCCAGTAGATAAATGCATCAAGAGGATCATAATCAATGGCTTTAACATTTCTTAGTCCATGGATGGGAAGAATGATGTCTGGACTCTGCTGATCATCTGGTATCATCCGACTTATTGCAGACCTCTGACTGAATAGTAAGAAGCTACTGGGTGCTAAAAGTAGAGAAAAATGAACACAATCCAAATAACAGTATTGGTAAAATTCTTTTGAAAAGTAAATACACAGTTGCAAAAATATCAAAGAATAATCTTTCCCATGTCCAGATTTTTGCTATTACTATTACTGGTCACAGAATGACACGATTTCAGTCCCATCTTGAAAGAAAACACCAGAATGAATTGCCAAAAAGTCTGATATATTTCACATTACCAGACTTAGGATAAAATGGCATCTATGATCTTCAGTCCAATCCAGGAAGGAATCCATGGAAGCCTAACAGATGCAAGATTAATTTGGAAGACTGGTCTGCCTCACTTTCCCAGGGATCCCTCTTTTGATTTATGCAATGCCAGATCCAAGTTTATTAAATGCCCTCTTGGGGAGGATGCTCTCTACGTCTACCAATCTCATTTGATGAATTTGAAACATTAAAGAGAGATCAAACCTTGAACTAAGGAGAAATGTCCTAACAATGAGAACAATTTATCAGTGGAACGTCTTGCCTCCAGAAACTGTGGATACTCCATCATTGGAGGTTTACAAGAAGAAATTGGACAACCGTCACTGCAGAATGGCATACAGTCTCCTGCTCATGCAGGGGGCTGGACTAGAAGACCTCCAAAGTCCCTTCCAACTTTGTTATTCTATGTCCTATGTTCTTCATTGCTGCTGCCATATTCATGTGGGTGAATCTAGCTGTTGCCAAATTATAAGAGAGCAAAGGAAGAAGAAACTCTCATCTCTCTCAATGCTTGCTTGCATAGAAGGGACAGATGCATAAAGGATGACAGCAAGAAGCAGCAGTCAACCCAAGGAGTACTGGGCCAGCTTTGGGTTCTGTTAAAAGAAAAGGCTCAGCAAATGTCAACTTGGCATTCAAGCCAACTGTATAGGGAAGTAAATACATTTCTGCAAAATGTTCAGTTTATTTTCAGTGTCGAATAATAACATTAAGTAGTATTCCTCTTACTGACAAGCATTACCCCAAGCAATATTAAATCCTACCATTATTACTTGCATCAACTACACCTTTAAAATCATTTTATTGTTTAAATTTAGATACTTTAAAAATGAATTTAGAATTCTTTTCATTTAATGTTTTTAACCAAACTTTCCCTTTCCCTCCTCCTCCCCAAAGCAAAACTGGTGTTACTTTAAATCACAAAGGCAGTTTTTTGGAAAACTCTGAAATGGACAACTGTTGGCAATCACTCTTTATGCTTGTTTTCCAATACTGTTTTGAATCCAGAATTGTGCTGAGCTTTATCCAGTTGCTTTAATAATGCTTTTATTGTTAATTTTATTTTTTGTGTTGTTTGTTAACCCATATCTGAATTTCCCTTCTGGTGGAAAACAAGTTAAAGATTTTTGTATAAATGAAAATTAAGGCATTTATTGGGAGAGATGCAGACATCCATTTATACAGCTATAAGTATCTAGTGTGTAAAGAGGACATGTCGATTTAGGTCAAATTATTCAAGTTAGTTTTTAATGCTACTCATTTTTACTCCTTTTGCATTGCCACCCACTAGGTTCAACCCTGGACTGAGCAACATGACAAAATTGCTAGAAGCTGCTTCAATGCCAGGAGAAAAGAATTAGTTCTTTCTTTTCATCTGGAGGGTTACAGGATGAAAAAACCTATTCAACCAGGTTTCAGGTATCAGAAACAAATGGGCTGGCAAGATGCCCTGGAACATGAACTATGCGGTTCCTTTTGAAACCTCTCCTCTTTAAGTTCTGTTGCATGAATCCTTGACTTTCCTCCCATTCTAGCCTGGGCTTACTGGAACCAGAACTCTATTTTGATGGAGGAAGGCCTGGAACTAACAGAAAAAGAGCAAGTGCACACTCCCAAGAACACTATGTTCTTTAGCTGCTATTCGGCTTCTGGCAAGAATAGTTCTGAATCACTCCTACTACAGTCCGTTCCAGCTGTCTGTCCTTCCCACACAGATAGGCTACAGATGCAAAAATGTTGTCTTCCTGGAAGCGTTGGGACTATAACTTTCATGATCTCAACCAGCACATCCATGAATGCAGTTGTAATCTAACCTATTTAGAGAATACCGTGTTGGGAATGGTCGAAAACTGAAAATATTTAGAGAGCTGTGTCAAATACATACAACTGCAGTTCCGGGTCTTGGGATCCAAGGTGTAGTGTGATGCACAGCCACATCTATAGCCATTGGGTATGGCCAGGCACAACTGCCCACAGTGCCCATTATTTTGCGCACACTCGTTGAAACCATCCTGTCGCGATGAATGGAAAACTAATATATCCATCACAAAGTCCAGACGATTCTGAATAAGTGTTCGATTCCTGCCATTTGTTTTGTCAGCTCTTTCTATACTGTGGAGGTTCCAATCTGTCCAGTAGATGAAGTCACTGTACTGAGTTAGCCCAAAGGGGTGAGGTAGATCATCTGCTATTATTTCCCTCTCTTGCCCTGAAAGAAACAACCCATATGTTGTTAATCAACTCAAACACTCAAACCATGGTAGCCAAAAGATGAAAGGTTGGATGAATTAACTCAAACTTTTGCTAGTAATGTTTAATTATCAATTAATATAGGTCATCTATCCCTGCCATCTGCTATTCCTTTCACATTTTCAAAGAAGCATATAAAGCAGTACTGCCTGTCAGAGTACATTGAAAAAAATTGCCCTGGACAATTATGAGACCCCCATGGTTAAACACAATACATTTGTTAATTTTATTTATAGTCCCAGACCAATAAAAAACAATGAAATATGGGGTGTTCTCTTGATCATTTATTCATTTTCTATAACTGTTCATCTCAGCAATGGATGGCTAACAATCATAAAAACAATTAAAAACAATTACAATATCGTTCAAAATTTAATATATATGGCAGTTAACAAACAGATCTTTCATTGATGATAGCTTTAATTCTATAAAGAACTAGAAATAAAACAATACAGTTTGGGACCTATCTTTACTTCACTTATAGAAAGTCCTATCATAGGAGCAAACTCTCAGTTAAGTATTATTTCCTGCTGTGAAGCTTTATCAAGGGAAATATACAATGGTACAGTAAAGAAAAAAAATTAGAGCTATGCACTGCTTCAGATTTGATTCTAATCAGTGTTTTTGGGCATGCAATTCCTTAAACCAAGTGTGTATTTTCCCATGCCTATATAGCAAATTTCCAAACAGTTCATTAGCATGATACGTGTAATGGCTGCACCATTGTCACCAATGTTTGAATTAAATCATAACTACACTTCTAGAAAACATGATCTGTTGGTGAAAGGCCTTCTGTTGGTGATACTTTTTAGTTAAAAAAAAAAGAATGCTAGACAAGCTTATGAGATGTAACTACAGTCAGGCTATATCCATTCCCTGCTGACTGTAACGGCACAATATCTAAAATAATAATGTGATAGGTAGGTACACAGTACCTATACATGCACATATGCATTAGGTCTGTGCAGAAATCTGAATTTGAAGGGCAAAAGATGGGTATACGCTGGGCAACTTTTAGGAGCACCTTCAACTAAGCAATTTATTTCCCAGTATCTTGTGTCAGCTGCAGAAAAGCAACTGCACAAACCCAAGAAAAGATACAACTGTTTTCAGATGCTCCTTAGCACCATAAAGATGCTACATTTGCACTCATGTGTGATCCAAATAATATATCTGTACATATTTGTTTTATACTGTTTGTTAATTACAGCCCCTTTCTTCCTCCCTATGCAAGTTGCTAATTATAGGGGGATTTAGGATATTAATTCTAATATCTTCATTAATGACTTAGATGAGGGAATAGAAGAGGAATTCATCAAATTTGTAGATGACACTAAACTGGCAGGAATAGCCAACACCCTAGAAGACAAGCTCAGAATCCAAAAAGATTTTGACAAACTTGAACAATGGACCCTATCCAACAAAATGAGTTTTAATGTGGAGAAAAGCAAAGTTTTACATTTAGGCAGGAAAAATCAAATGTTTAAGTACAGATTAGGTGAGACCTGGCTCAAAAACAGCAAGTGTGAGAGGGATCTTGGACTCCTAGTGGACGATCACTTGACTATGAGCCAGCAATGTGTCAAAAAAGTTAATACAATCCTGGGTTATATAAACAGAGGCATAGAATCATGATCACGTGAAGTATTAGTACCGCTTTATCAAACCCTAGTGAGACCACACCTGGAATACTGCAACCAATTTTGGCCACCATACTACAAAAAATATGTTGAAACTTTCGAGAGGGCACAGAGAAGAGCAACTAAGATGATCAAAGGCCTGGAGACTAAAATATATGAAGAACAGTTGCAGGATTTGGGTTTGGCCAGTCTAAAGAAAAGAAGAAATAGGGGTGACATGATAGCAGTATTCCAGTATTTGAGGGACTGCCACAAAGAAGAGGGGGTCAAATTATTATCCAAAGCAACAGAGGGCAGGACAAGAAACAATGGAAACTGATCAAAGAGAGAAACAACCTGAAATTAAGGAGAAACTTCCTAACAGTGAGGACAATTAAACAGTGAACAGCTTGCATTCAGAAATCGTGGGTGCTCCATCACTAGAGGTTTTTAAGAAGAGACTGGACAGTCACTTGTCTGAAATGGTATAGGTTCTCCTGCTTGAGCAGGGGGCTGGATTAGAAAACCTCCCAGGTCCTTCCAGCTGTTCTGTTCTGTTCTGTTCTGTTCTATTCCATTCCATTCCATTCCAATCCAATCCAATCCAATCCAATCCATAATGGAAGAGACCTCAGGTGGCTTCGCAATGCAATAGTTGGAACTCCTAATCCAGTAAGCTCTTTTGTAGCAAGGGATGGGAAACATACCAGAGAAATATTTTTTTCCATTTTATTGTTCACATTCATAATTTGGACACTAGGACTCTAAAACCTTTCAACTACTTTTGGTAATATACTTTGGTTTGTTGTTACTTCTATTTAATGATATGCCCAATTACTCTTCCAAAGGTTTGGAGCCAATTACAAGATATGAGAAATCCTATTCAGAATTTTGCATAAGACAATGTTTTGGAGGCTACTTAAACAAAAAGGCTATTAAACTGTGCTCCCATGTGATCAGTTGATCTGTTTAAGTTCCTTTGACTTAAAGATCTTTTTTCAGCATGACATGTCACCCATAGCTTTCTTCTGTACATCTTGTTCTTAAAAGAAAGTAATGATGGTTTTAATAAGACTTATTTCCACATCACATCTACTATATTCTAGATTCTGGCATATTACCTAGCATATTGGATGACTCAATCATGCTTGTGTCCAGATCAGTCCAATAAAGTCTTTGATCCTTGTAATCAATTGTAAGATCGTTGGCACGTCCCACCTTATCCACCAGCATGATACTATTTGTTCCATCCATGTATGCTCGAACAATTTTGGGTTTGCCTCCCCACTCTGTCCAGTACATATACCTATAATGAGTGAAACAAAAATTGGAATGATTCAACATTTAATTTATATCAGAGCAACTGCTTGGCTTGCAGGTTGCCTTATGAGTCCTCAGAAATGAAAAAAAGATCTTTTACTATGTTTCAAAACAATTTATTTTAGATATTTGAAATAAAGAAATAAATAACTGTAAGAACATTTCCTCCTTTACTATTCTGAAAATTTTGACAATACTTATCTTTGTATATTTCAGCATATGAATAGATTCCTATGAGTTTGATACGGAATAGAAATTATGCAACATAAAATATTGGTTGTCAGTTTGGTCTCAACTATATCGTACAAGTGTAGTATTGTGTAGCATCAATCAAGATTTTTATTTGTACAGCAATCAGACAAAAACAATCAAAACATGCATGTTTTTCATGACTTTGATTACAAATACTGGTATGACTGGAAAAAAATATCTGTTTGATACAGGATTGACTACTGGGCACACAGATTGGCCAACGTTTTGACTGTAGCCACACATATCTCAACACATATATACACCAGTAATCTAAATCGGTGTTGCTGGGAGGGAGATTGTGGGAAATCATCACTCCTATTTATCAGCTAAGCAATGGTGATATATGGTATATGCTCCATGGTTTCCTACAGGCTTTAGAACAAGGGTGGGTAACTTCTAGTAACTTCTTGGGACGTACATGATTTGGGAGAGGGTAAGGGTCTCCCAGGGACCATGGTGGCATTCTGAGTGGTATCATGAGCAAAAAGTCTGTTTTGGGGACAACTCACCCATTTTGATACCAGGACTTTTAAGGTGAGAAAATGGTGGCTTTAAGCTAAGGTTTACTGTACCCACTGCAACACTTAAAATAATCTAAAACTCAAAGTTGCAAAAAGGGCCAAATATAAAAAGTATTTTTTTGGAACACATGCATAGTGCAGAGTGCACTTGCCCACCCCTACTCCAGAACCATGCAAGAGAAACAGGGCCATGATCCCATTGGTTACATAACTCACAATGAATGTACTCCATTAAGGACAGTTCTCCCATAGTTGCTGTTATTTGTCCTTTTCTATTGAGCTGGTTCTCACTTACTATCTTGTTTAGTGGCTGTTTGATGTTATGACAGTATAAAGAAAACAGCTTTGCAACCAATCCTTACATTTACAACCTTGGGTGTCTTGGCTGAAAGAAAATCAATCATGTTTGCACTGCTTAATATACATACCACAGTGATGGGTCCCTTCTGCACCAACATTGGGCACAAAGTCCAAAGTCAGGCACAAGGAGGAACCCCAATCCCTCACCCCATTGCAATAGAAATGGAAATCAGAGCAGGGCAGAAAAGTCCCAATTATATAAACTTTGACATTGTATTTTAATTCCATAATTTGGGGAACACATTTGCAATCAAACTAATAAGCAATAATAAGCATTGAATTTGGATATTTTTTTCTTACCCTTTTGATGGATCAAGAGCCAATGATCTTGGGTTGTCCAAATCTTTCCACACAAGAACTTGCCGGAATAGCCCATCCAACCGGGCCACTTCGATCCTATTGGTTCCAGTATCTGCCCAATAGAGATTCTTCCCCATCCAATCTACAGCCATGCCTTCAGGGTAATCTAACCCAAACTCAATCACATGTTCAAGTCCACTTCCATTCATGAAGGCTCGGCTTATTGTCTGCAAAAACATTTTTTAAAAATGACAGGAATTTCAGAATACAAAACAATTAATGGCTGAGTGTAAAGTATATAATACAAGACAGGGTTCCCTCAAGGATGTGTTTTATTTTGTGACATTTGAACAACAAAATATTTAGAACCAAAATGTTGTTCTGGAAGGAGTCCATTAGGACAGCTGGTTAATAAAGCAAACGTTTCAGTTAAAATATCATGAATACCTTTAAGCTAATATCTGTCCAGTAGATTCTGTTGTCAGATACATCAAAATCTAGAGCAGAAGCTTCTTTCACACCCGTGAGAGGAATGGCAACATCATTGTTGCTGGCTCCAAGAGAAATCCTATGAACGGCTGCCCTGCTGGTGAAGACAAGGAAAGCTTCTGGGATGATGCAGGTCCTCATATCACTAAGTAACTCCAATCCAATTGGACAGGCACATCTGCACTCCTGGGGTGTGAAGAAGCACAGGTGGCTGCAGCCGCCATTATTCTCGGCACATGGATTTGTCCCTAAAAAGAAAAACAATTCTCTGAAGGAAAAGAAAAGCTTGGCTAGGGCGGTTTTAGGTCTTAAAGCATAGCTCCTTCTATGTTGAAAATGGCTCAAAATAAATTCTGCCCCATGTCTTCTAGAATTGTCTAACTGAAGGAAACTAGGTTAAAAGCTTTCCTCCATTTATTATTTATTTGAGTCTTAAAGAAGATTTGGAAGTCCTGGGTTAAAAATTCACTTTAGGTATAAATTTACCTCATGTCCCTTACAATATCAATACATTTCAGTCTCAGTCCCTTATCTCCAATATTGACCATTTATCCTACAGTTTGCTGAATTAATATGCATTTTTCAATATGGAAACATAATGCTTGTTACTATCAATTGAGTCCACACAACACAATCTTCAGACCCATCCAACAGCACTAAGAAGCAGTGGGGATATACTGCATATACACATCACATAATCAATTTCAGTTTTCCACACTGTGGAAGGACTATTTTAGATAGTAAGTATATTAGATAGTAAGTATATTTCTATTTCTAATTGGATCTATTCATAGCTAACCAAATAGATCCTCCTATAACTTTCCCAACAGCCCAACTATACATTTTGCATAAAAAGTATAATTAACAATTATTGAATGAGATAATGCCAAATTGGCCCACTGTGTGAAAGGTCATAGATTCCTAGTCAACATGATAATTCCAAATACAGCAAAGCTAGTAAACCAATTTCTGAAATTAATTCTACATAGATTTCCAATAGGCAGCAAACATGGTTCAGTAAGATATGTCAAGCAGTTGTAATAAAGACTGAGCATCTGGATGATGAACAGATGCTAGCTGCATTGGTAAATCTCCACACATATTTTGGAGTGTGAAAATGTGTGAAACTCAACAAGATTTCATGGGATTGAGTGAAAATCTATCTTTATAGAGCTAATAATTTGGGGGAAAAATTATTGAAAAGAATCACAAAATTTCAATTAAACAATTGATTTTATGACAAATTAATTTTATATTGTTCCATTGAACAATAATGAAAGAATAAAGCATTCCTTCTTTGCACAATAAACTTTTGGAATATCATGAATTTCTTTGTGCACTTGGGAGTTAAAGCCTGTGGAGACGTCTAGTGTTTTCCATGTAAGAGTAATAAATTCCCATCCTTTGCACTATTTTGACTTGTCGTTTATCTCACAGACTTCAGCTCATCCCAGCTGCTTGTTGTCTGGGAATAGCAGCTAATAAACATTTCTAGAAAATGTTCCCTGAATCAGTACCGTTAAACATTGCTATGAGGAATTGTTGCAGGTTAAAAAGCATGAGTGAATCTTAGAGAACACAGTGAGATAAATTAAGGGATAGAAATGTGTCTAAAGCCCCAATTAGGGAATCGTAATGGATGCACATACACATAAATCAGGAGTAAGCTTTCATGTTTATATATTCACACACACACACACACAAAACCAGTGTATGTAAGTATGTGTGTAAAAGATGCAGTTATTTTCAGTGTGATCCTTCTATCTGCAGACATGAAGGATATTAACGGCTGCTCTCTTTATATACCTCCATACTTAAACTGAAAGCTTCTCTGGACATAAACATTGGTCAAAACCGCTAATGGGATTGGTAGCTAATAATGTGTGCCTTTTATAACAGAAGGTGTTGCACAGAGGATGTATTGTAGCCCAATTGATGCATCCCTATAATCATACTTAGTTCTCATTTGTAAGAATACATGATACATTATTCATGTTTACCTCATAAAATGACCTAGGTAGCATGAAAAAGAAGCAAAATAGAAATACATCAGCACTATTCAAAGCCCTTAACACACCAGGTGGCTGTATTCCCATTACAGCATTTCTCCAACCATTTTGGAGTTCCCCAGTCCCTTAGAGAATGGGTACGCTGCAGAGATGAAAAAGTGATATTTTGCAAGAGGATCATGCCAATAACTGAGCCCCCTCGACACAAATATCCAAATCTCACACACAAGGCCCTGAGTCCATTGGTTATGCCTCTTTTCCCCATCACTGTCAAGAAATACTCTTGGCAGTTGAAATAACATTCAGGTGCAACCCAGGTCCAACAGGAGCACATAGCTGACTGAAGAAGAGACCTGCCACTCTCCTTCTCACCAACCAATGGGTTCAAAGTTACTCCACCAAATAAAAAAGAGTTCACTGAGAACAATTGGCCTCCAGAAGCGGTGAATGCACCAACACTGGAAGTTTTTAAGAAGAAACTGGACAGCCATTTGTCCAAAATGGTATAGGGTTTCCTGCCTGAGCAGGGGGTTGGACTAGATGACCTCCAAGGTCCCTTCCAACTTTATCATCATCATCATCATCATCATCATCATTATTATTATTACTACTCAGATCCTTTTACCTATCAGACAATGAATCTGCAAAGAGGATACCAATTTTTCTAGTTAATCTTAACACTGGTTAGACTTCTTATATACGACTCTTCCGTGAAACTCGTTATTGTTTTCACTGCAAACATTATTCTGGAGCATGGTCCAACCATTGGGCAATGCCCTCACTTACCCTCTGCTCTGGTGACACTTGTTGCTTTAAGACCCATCAAGTCCGGCAACTGATCAATGATAATGTCCCGACTTGCCCACTTCTTGTGAACCCTTTCAATACTTCGCCTCTGCCAATCTGTCCAGTAGATGTATTCACCGAGTAAAGTAAATCCAAATATATGAGGAAGTTTATCTTCTATGAGTGTTTTTCTCATGGTTCCATCAAGGCTTATTACCTGTAAAATATAAATATACATATATATATATATATAGTTCAGTTGTAGTAAACTAGCAAAAAAGTGAAAATTCTGTATGAAAAATCTATCTTGATGGAGGTGATTGTGAAGTTAATTTAACATCATTTAAGATAGATATCTATGCTAGATATGTTAGATATCTAGCATATAATTTAGGTATTGCTAGGTTCTAGCTCAGTGGTAAATTATGAGTGCTGTTTTGTTTTTTGTATGAAGTTCATGGCTGACTGGAACATCGGACTCAGCAATGCTTCTTTTAAACATGTGATCAGTCCTGCAATCTGTTTCAAACACAAGAACCAAACTCCTAATTTCTTGAAACAAAAATACTTCTAGTTATTATTAGCCACACAGGAATGAGAAACTTGTGTAAATCATCCATAAACTTAGCAGTAGATTCTGACCTATCATTTGCTAGCATTTGCCCTAGGCAATTATTATAAATTGTAATAAAGCCCTAGCCAATTTTAATTCTCAACTACTGATCTTGAAGTGCAGAAGGCTGCAGGATTTAGCCAACTTTCACTGATCTTGAAAAATCACAAGCAGAGTCCTACTTAGAAGATTATCAGGGATTATTAGCGCTGTATACTACATTGATTTTTTTTAAACAAACAAACAAACGATAATCCTGAAAGATGGCCTTGGCACAAACCTGCACTACAAATAAAAATACTACATGGATATAGTCCAACTATATTTGATTAAAACTTGACAATTTTAAGACTTGTTAGACCCCTGGCCTAACTAACTTGCGTGGACTGATGAAGCTGCTTGGATGAGCAGTGGAACATCTCAAACTAACAGAAAAAAAAGTCCAGTTGCCATGACTTCAGACATAGCTAAATCTAGTTTATACCAACCACTATTCGTTAGACTTCGTTCCTTTCTGTCATCGTGAATCATAGTTGCTTCCATAATATCTTTTACTCTTTGAAATTTTCACTCTCTCTTTCGGAGGATCTCATTAACTCCACCCAATCACTTTTTTAGTGGTTGCAATCATTTTCTTGTGATAAGGAAATCTACAGAACATTGATATTGGTCCATAAATTATTATATTATCTCCTAAGCATTCAAGAAGCACCAGTGAAATCTAGCCCTATAGTAATCAGAGGTGGAATGGTATCCTGACTTAGTATGTATTATTAACTCATTTTGCATGTACACAAATTTGTATACTGTATTTAGATATATACACACAGTTCAGCTATCTTCTTTTGCCAATGTTATGGTCCTTCTGTAAGGAAACTAAACTATACTTGAGCATTCATTTGAAATTAACACACAAAATTCATCCTCTGCTGTTCTACCAAAACTATTTTCAGAATGGAGGGAGGGAAAAGAAAAAAATTAAGTAGTATTTCTTACATCCTTCTCTTTACCCTATAAATTCCTGCACAATCTGGTCTCCAATGTGGATAGGATGCATTGAGAACAGACTATTTACTAGCTGCGGAGGCAACTGTGAGCCACAACAAATGTATAAAACAAGAAACTTCAATCTCTGCTTCTTTGTAATTATGTTAATAAACTACAAACCTAACCAAAACAAATATCTGCTATGTACATTTTCTTTTGCATGGGGTTGAAGAAAAATCTTAACAGAAGCTTTTCTAAAAAATTTGACAAGTGAGACTTGGGTCTGGTGCAATTTAAAAACACAGTCCGAAATTAAGCTACAATTATTTTAGCACTAGCTTCTCAGATATTCCAAACAGATTTCAACCCTGGGGACTTCTCCAAATCAAGCTCTAATTCGTTATGAAAGTTTTCCTTCTGTCAAAGTATGTTAATATCTACCGCCTGTGCACTAATGCGTGGCTTGGCTTTTTTCCACATCACCCAAGGGTCAGGCTTACAAGCCTGAAGCAGCCTTACGGCTGCCAGGCAACAGTAGGGTAGAAAACTGCCTTGTTAAAAATGTTACAATCCCTGACAAATCATAGATCGAGGCAAATTTTCCTTTATTAAAAGGTTTGATAACTTTCCCAAGAAAATAAAATGTGGAGAACTGGTCAATATTATGCAACTCTTTGAAAAGTGCAGTACAGGTAGTCATTGAGTTACAATCACAATTGAGCCCAAAATTTCAACTGCTACGCAAAACAGTTGTTAAATGAGTTTTGCCCCATTTTACAACCTTTCTCGCCACAGTTGTTAAGTGAATCACTGCAGTTGTTAAATTAGTAACACGGTCGTTGCGTGAATCTGGCTTCCCCATTGACTTTGCTTGTTGGAAGGTTGCAAAAGGTGATCACATGGCCCTGGGACACTGCAACCATCATAAATATGAGACAGTTGCCAAGTATCTGAATTTTGATCACGTGACCATGGGGATGCTGCAACGGTCGTAAGTGTGAAAAACAGTCCTAAGTCACTTTTTTCAGTGCTGTTGTAACTTCAAACGACTGCTAAATGAATGGCTGTCATTCAAGGGCTACCCGTGTATTCAATGCAGCTTATTATAGCTTATTAACTATATTTTATTCACACATAAATGTGATTTAAATTTTGGACCATAGCTGTAGTACAGGTTATATTTGTACATTTTTCTACAGAAATGGAGAAGAAATCAAGTGAGATTTCAAATTATATCCAAAATCAAAAGTAGGAAATATTCCCAATTAAAGAAATGAGTGTATAATCTTATATTTTGCCTATCCAGAATTTGGCAAAATTCAGTAATGAAGATTATGCTCGGTCTTCTCATCTATATCTGTTTGCATTACAGTTCAGTATACCCGTCTACTCTGGCAACATCTTTAGAAACCACAGAGTAGTAGTTTAGGATTACTCATGCAATTCCTCTATGTTCAAAAGCACAAGCCACCGTCTTAACAGCTGTAGGACCTTGTGGAAAAGTAATAAATTGCTTGACTATCTTTTTCTTTATGTTTATTCAGAACTTTTAAGATACAGTCTTATTTTCGGAGAAACACAGTACTTCCCATGTTAATGAACTCCAAAATATTAGGGAAAGTGTCCCCTCTCGTCTGAAGTGGATTCTCACTGGTCCAAGTAAAAAGAATTTGTATATGCCCATTTGTAAAGTCATTTCTCCAAAGGGGGAAAAAAACTGCAGACTTATTAGATCATCCATATTTATCAATGTTCAAACTGATCACAGTAGCAGCGTAAAACAATACCACATGATAGTACTTGCTTAGGAGGAAAACACCACAATCCCTCTTCCCTTCAAAAGGAAAATGGGGCATACTCAAACCATTCCCAGTTCAATAAATTTTGAGGTAGAAATGCCAGGACAAAACTCTATACCAGTGATGGCGAACCTTTTAGAGACCGAGTGCCCAAACTGCAACCCAAAACCCACTTATGCATCCTCGAGTGCCGGGTGGGTGTGGTCCATTGGCTGGGTGTGGCCCATTGGGTGGGCGTGGCTGCGGTGGTAACGGCAGACTGGGTGGGACTAAAAAGTTCAATCAATCAATTCCAACTTTGCAAGATCTTTTTTTCCCCGTGAGAAGTTGAAATTGACTCATTGACTGAACCATGGGTTTTTTTTGCACATGGTGGCAGAGGCCTAAAGCGAAAAGATTTTATAAAACCCAGCTGAAGGCCTAGAACTGGGGCGATGGCGCGCGTGCCCACAGAGAGGGCTCTGAGTGCCGCCTCTGGCACCCGTGCCATAGGTTCGCCACCACTGCTCTATACTGTTTCAAAAATATTCTGAAGAGTGCATTAGCCATAAAAAAAACCCCCTCTTCTACCAGTAGGTAGAAATCACTGACAAAAAGTAAGGATAGCAGTAAAGGAAAGTCATCTAAGCATATGTTAAGAACGGTTTTAGAAGTAAGTAAAAACCTCTGGTTTGCCCAAGTCTACACTTCATTTTAAATCTTTAAATAATTAACATAGGATTAATGGGTTTATAATACAAAATTTTCCTTATTTGCTATGTGTATCTAAGTGTGTTGCATTTTGTCTTTCAGATATTGCTAACTTTTTTTTAAAAAAAAAGTACATTTAAAATCCTTAAATCTTTAATACTTGCAATAAAACCCCATTATAAATTGCTATGCTACTGGTTTTTAGTTGCAAAATACAAAAACTATCTTGCTTTCTTTGACCATTGCAAAGAGACAATTAATCTTTTCTGTTCATAGGCTGAGTTAAAATACACTCTGCTGCAGTCTTTGGACATAAATTTTGTGGTTACTTCTGCAGGAAGAAGTTCCAAAAGGATGTTTAACTATTGCTTCCATTTTTTCCTGTTGAAAAATTTTTAAAGCTTACTTTGGGGGAGGGGGAGGAAGAAATTCCCTTATTGGTTTTTTTCTATAAGTTAGATGGTAGGTTACATTTGGCATGGACTGACACCTCAACAACTTTTGTGATCCCAGGCTGAAAAACTAGAGAACAAAATACTCATTTAATGTTTTCATTGCACTCTATGGGCTTGTCCCATGCAGTTATAGGACAATAGAGAAATGTTTTGCTCCATATAACACCCAGAAAATTATACCAGAATGCTCTGAATGCATCAATTTTTTTTATTAAGATTGCATTTTCCTCTTTTGTGTACACCCCCTAAAGGAAATGCCATATTAAGAACAATGATTCATATGCCAAAAAAATTGGCTAGACTAGTTGTTTTGCCACTCCTGATAATTTGGAAAAGCTGTTATCTAAATGTTACCAGCATAGTGACCTGTTTTTTAAAAGTCACAAGAAGTTGATGGATAAAAATTGAAACAAGTATATACATGGTGGGGGGGTGGGGGGGAGGAGAGGTGGAGAGATAATGAGAGATAAAGAAACTAATTTAACAAGCAGTTTTCTTGGGTGTTCTGTCCTTTTGTGAAGTTTAATATGATAGAATGTAAGGATAACAGCAGGGATGTTTTGACTGATGTCTCCTGAATTGCATCACAGTTTTATTGCCAACAGGATTCAACTGAATTCCACAATCTTGCCATTGCATTATTATTAATTTCCCGCAATCATCTTTCAAAGTA